CACCCTGTCTCTCCTGCATGCCTGTCTGAGTGCTACCTGGCTTTCCCTCCCCTTGCTGGATCTACTTTCTGGACTTATCTTTCAGCCTCCTTGCTCTTCTCTGAACCTCCCTTTTTCTTTCGTGCCTCCCTGCTGGCCCAGCCTTGGGCCCCCGCCCCACCTCTTCTTGGTGAGGTTTGGTCTTGGGCCGCAAGAGTTGCCTGGGGCGACAGTGAAAGACTGGAATGTGGGAAGGGCGGGTGTGGGCTGGGGGAATGGGGAGCTGTGGGGGGGTCAGGGAGGGGGTTTTCTCTTGGCTGGTCAGAGTTCAGCCACCTCACTAGAGTGGAGGCCACCAGGCCATGCCAAGCTGATGACATCACACTCCAGGAATGTCTGCTGCTGCTGTTAGCTCAGGAGGCCCTCTGTGGGGGTGCTCCCCCCACCACACCCTCCCTCACCTCTCATTATCCCTTCACCACTGCTTACCCATTCTGATTCTTTGGCTAACCCTGTAATCTCCTATCTCTGCCTGTCTGGCTCCAGCGCTCAGCTTTTCTCTTCCTCCCCCAGCTTCTGCCTGCATCTCTATGGGCTGATCTGGCTGTCCTTTTCATTGGGCCTCTTCCGGTATGTCCTCTCCTTTTCTCTCTCCCAAGTCATGTAAGTGAGCTTTTCTAGATCTCCCCCACCCCCAGCAGAGCTGTGGATTCAATGGGAAGCTTCCCCTTGTTCTCATGCCTTGCTTCTCCATGACCGCTTAGACCTATGGAGTAGCTTTGTGGATGTTGGTCTAAAGGGAAACTGTCTGCCGCGTAGACCTGGGAAGAATTGCAGGCTGCCTCTGACCCTGAAGCCTCTTGCATTCCTCTAAGCTCCCATACAAAGAAATTTCTCAAAGATGCCCTGACCACCAGAGAGGTACCATGTAGCAGGAAGGAGCTAGACAGATGTGAGAGCAGGGTACCTACTGAAACAAAGAAACCTAGGTTAGAAGGCCCAGAGGGCAAGGCCTAGGACCAGTGGTCCCTGCAAATCAAGTAACATCTGGTCAGAGCTGCTTACCTGGCACACCAGCCTGTTTGACCTTGGCATGGCTCAGCTCTCAGGTGGCTTCCCATGTGCTAGGGCCTGAAGAGGTGTGCGTGGCAGACAACCAGTGAAGATGGGAGCTCGAGGAGCAGTGAACAGAAACATTTGGCTGCAGTGAGGCCAACGCCGTATGGGATTTTTTTATCTTCCTCTTGGAGGCTGTGTAGGTCAAGCTGACCTTAAGCCCTTGATCCTCCTGCCTCTGTCTCCACATGCATACAGTGTTTTTGTTTGGGAAGGAAGAGTGCACAGTAGTTAGGAGTGAAAGCTGTAAGGTCTAGGTCCAATCGTCTTGTGCAACCTTGGGGAGCAGGGACCAGAGGAGGAAAAGCCCTCCATGGGGGCTCCAGAGATAGGCTCCAGCCCCTTCTCTGCTGCTTCTAGGACGAACTTTGCGCTGCAAGGCTTTCTACAGCGTCAATGGCTCGGTCTACTGTGAGGAAGATTATCTGGTGAGTGAGGGGCCTAGAACTGGCTTTGACACTGAGACACTCTTTGGTCGCCTGTTCGGTGGTGGCCTACCCATCAGGTTGGGTCGCATCATTTTCAGCGTGGTGACTACCTCTTTTCGTCCCTTCTCTAGTTTTCAGGGTTTCAGGAGGCAGCTGAGAAGTGCTGTGTCTGTGGCCACTTGATTTTAGAGAAGGTAAGAAATTTGCCTCAGCTTAGACCTGGAAGTGAGGGGGTGGCTTCTTAAACATAAGAGAAGGCGGCCAAGGGAGCCTATTACTAGATGATTTGTGTTCTCACTGGTCCTCCCCAGAGCTACCCCACATTGCTGCCCCTCTGCCTCTGAGAGCAAATCTGTAACCCTAGTCTCATCCTGCTGGGCTTCTGTGATCTGTCTGTACAGACACAACCTGCCCTCCAGCCTAAGCTAGATGAACATGCTCCCTTTTCTGCTACTGGTTAGAAACAGTTGAAACTCTGTTTTCTGTATAAAAAGGAATTGGAGCTGGGCTTGGTGGTGCAGGCCCTTAATCCCAGCAGAGCCAGGCAGATTTCTGTGAGTTTGAGGTCAGCCCGGTCTAGAGAGTGAGGTCCAGGACTACCAGGGCTAAACAGAGAGACCCTATCTTGAAAAAACAAGAGGAAAAAAAAAGAAGGAATCAGATTAGATTGGTGATTTTGAACTATGGCTGTCTAGTAAATACCTGGGAAGGACTGAAAAAAGTAAATAAAAATTCTGGCACCCTTCTTGAGCTGTAATAAAAAGTTAGGTGTGGCCTGAGGCTGCAGTTCTGTTAGCTGAGCAAATGCCTTACACGAACAGTTCTGGGTTCCAGCCTCAGCACCATTCACACCAGGCGCGGTGGAGCGTGCACACCTGTTATTTCAGGTCTCTGGAAGTGAGGCAAGAGGACCCAGAGTTTGAGGTCATCTTCAGCCACATAGTTTTTAAGGCCAGTCAAAGGTACATTTTACCTTGTCTCCAACAAATAAACAGTAACACAAATCCACAGGCCTGGAAGTTTCTGAGACCTTTTTCAGGTTTTTTTTTGTTTGTTTTTTTGCCTTTATTTTAAGACTCCTTGGTCCCCTCAAATTATGTAGCATTCTTCTAGGAGGACAGGAGGGGGTTGGAACATAATGGGTAGCTGGAGCCTGAGACTGAACGGAGACTGATCCTCCTCCCACCCTGCGAGCCAGATCCTACAGGCCATGGGGAAATCCTATCACCCAGGCTGCTTCCGATGCATCGTTTGTAACAAGTGCCTGGATGGCGTCCCCTTCACAGTGGACTTCTCCAACCAGGTGTACTGTGTCACTGACTACCACAAGTGAGTCTCACTGGGGAGGTAAGATGTGGGACCAGGCCTGGGCATCCCTCAACCTCGGCTTATCACTGTTTTCTCTCTTTCAGAAATTATGCCCCAAAATGTGCAGCCTGTGGACAACCCATCCTCCCCTCAGAGGTCAGTATGTCTGAGTTCCGCAGGGCAGCCAGCACTGCTGCCTCTTGGGAGGAGATGGGGACATGCAGCCTGGCCTCCCTTGGGAAGTGGTACTTCTGAGGAATGTACATTCCATGAAGATTCCCGTGTGACTCTGCTCTTGGGGTCACCACCCTGACCTAAACTTCCGGACCCAGACATGTCCGATAGTCTTGCTGGACCCAGGCTAGATTTTGTCCCTGTCCAGAGAACAAGACTCTCAATGTCACCAGATACAGGGACTAAAAAAGGGTGAAACTATCGTTAAGTTGGTAAAGATGGGGTCAGAGATTATTTAAGTTCTGTAGGCAGAGGGTGTGCCTAGGAGAAAAGCCAAAAGCCTTTCTTTGATTGACTTGTGTTCAGCCATACCTTTCCGCACCCCTCCCCCCTTCCCCTGCTTGTCTACACCTGTGAGCAGCAGGTAAGGCTGAGCCCTTATATATAGAGAGAGAGCCGCACGCATGGAGGCATTTTGTTCCCAGAGCAGTGCCGTGTTAGGAGTTGCTCAAACATCTCAAGAGCTACATGGCATTGTATCCAACTGCAGAGAGGCCTTTTGCATGACCTGCCTGTTGGATTGGGAGGGTTCTGTGTGGGGGATGATGACTTGGGGGACACTATACTGTGCTCACCCCCATGGGGCTCTACATGTTTCAGGGCTGTGAGGACATCGTGAGGGTGATATCCATGGACCGTGATTATCACTTTGAGTGCTACCACTGTGAGGTGAGTATTGGGGTACAGGGCTGATGGATGAAAATTGGAATTTGGGGAGAGTCAGTCTTGGAACAGGTGGGCATCTGTGGAAGTGGTACTGGACACAGAAAACTAGGACACTATTGTGACCTATGTCCAGTCTCGTCTTCTAGCTACTCTTCCTGATCCTAGTTGTTTAGATCTTTTTGGATGTGACTTCCCTGGGGTGAACTAACTGCTGGAGATGGGGTTTGTGTCATTATTTCTGCAACAGCAGCGACACCTGGTGTCCAGATGAAGTGTTTCTGGGGTCTTCACTTTTGTCCTGTCCACCCTTTCTCCCTTCCCCCTCCCTGCCTTGCCCCCATCCTTCCGGTCATTGACTAGTAGTCTGATGCTGAGCCAGACAGCCTCCTAAGATGGCCTCAGTATGTAGGGAGCCTGGGCTGAGGAGAACTCGTTCCTTCCTAGGACTGCCGCATGCAGCTGAGTGACGAGGAAGGTTGCTGCTGTTTCCCTCTTGATGGACATTTGCTCTGCCATGGCTGTCACATGCAGCGGCTCAGTGCCCGACAGCCCCCTGCCAATTATATCTGAGCTGTACTTCCTGCTGCTACCATCACCCCTGTGGAGAAATTCTCTGGCCAGTTGAGGCAAGGAATGCATTCTGCAATCCTTGTGAAGAGTTCTCTGGGGAGGCCCCAAAGGCCAGAGACCCAAAGATCCTAACATTCCAAATAGGCTGTGGAGGAGGGACCTTCTGATTGCCAGGAGGGTTGGCTGGTCTTCCTTGTGTGCAGCCTGGGCTGTGCAAATGCCTCCTAGCACACACGAGCGGGTTTCAGTACTTCCCAACATCAGATTCTGTTGTATATCTCCAGTGTATGTTTCTATAAATTCAAGCAACGTCCCAGCGCTGGATCACTCGAGAGGGCATCACAGAAACCACCCCCAGTCTGTTGTACCCTACACAAGGGGTCAGCCAGGCCTTTCCCACAGTGCCCTATCTTTGCATGAAGGGCTGGGAGCCCTGGACTTCATGATGAGTCATTTCTTGGCTGTCTCCCTAAGGACTAGAGAGCTTCCCATATGTCTGCTGGGACTGGGACCAGCTCTGGGGGTGCTGCTGCCCGTGTTGCCTGTTTCTCAGGGACCTGGGGAGGCTGAGTGGGGCCTGTCCTTGGTTGCTGTTTTGCTCAGATGGGGGAAGTAATGAGCAGGTCTCTGGGTGTGAAGCTTCCTGGGTGGAATGTCCAGGAAGCTTCAGGCTGGCCCCACGCGGGGTTGAAGTGCACTGAGCCCTCTAGCCCAGCATGTGTGGATGCGTTTGTATCCGCGTGTGCCTGTGCACCTCCCTCGGGGACTCCTTTTTTCTCAGGTGACTTTTACACTTAGTTCTCTAGCAGTAGCTTATCGTTGGAGGCCCACACACATCTAGGGATTGAGCATTGGATCTGTTACAGCCCCACAGCTTAAGGCTTTGGGGAAGCTGGAGAGAACAAAATGGTTTGACTTGGTTCTAGTCCGCTTGGCTGAGGCTTGAATTCACCTAAGTCTGGATGTGGCGAAGTCAGTTCACTTGCTGGCTGAAAGTTCAATTCATTTGATGAGCCGGTTGCCAAGAGCTCGATCCCCTTCTGAGTGTTTTATAGCCGCCTAAATGTTCTATTCTCTTCATTACACCGAGCAGCATTCAGTGGTCTCTGCCTGTTCATCAAGAGTTATTAGCAACCTACATTTATCAACTTTGTGGCACTTTGTAAGTGATAAGATTGCTCCCTGCCTTTATGCGCGTCTTTCCTATGTGATCTACTTTGCTGACACTTAAAAAATAAGTTTAAATCCTAGTAATAAATAACAATTGGTACAGATATTTTATGAGTGTGTTGTGGTTTTTTTTTTTGTTGTTGTTGTTGTTTTTTCAAGTCGTCATGGAGGGGTATTGGGAAAAGTTTTCAATTAGCAATAATCGTGCCTGGGCTAAACCTCATTGGCACGATACTGCCACTGCGCAAACCTGTGTTGTGTTTCTTACTTGGGTATTTGTTAAAAATTCATTTGTAAATAGGCCTTGAAAATGTAACGGAACTTCAGATGGCTTTGGTGCATTGGTCTGACTCTACATTTGTATTGTTAAAATGCAGTTGTATCATAGACAGTGAGTCTGGAAAGGACTGAGTTCCTGAGGACGGAAGACCAACCTATGGAGGTTGTTCCAGGATCACTATGCCAGCCATTCTGAGAAATACATGAGCAGGGTCTTCAAGTGAGGGAGAGAACAGACACAGACAGCTGGATACCACCTGGGGGAAATGTATTTTCGGACACACGTCCAGAGATTTGGATTGCTTGTTCTTCAGCTGAGACTTCTGCACTATTGAAGGAGTAACTGCAAGGGTCCTGTGAGTGGGACATTTTCCCAGTAGGTTAGGGAAAAGGCAAGCTTGTGTAGTTGTCCACTCAGCCTCTTGGTTCTGAATTTACCACAGGAAACTCATCCACCTTACTTTTAGCTTCTCTCTGTTCCCACCCATGGGCTCCTTCCCAACTAGGCCTGCACTAATACTGCCTGGGGCTCCCCAAAACTATTCTTGCCAGAGGGACAGGCAGCAGCCGGGGGGCAACCAGCTACCCTTTGCCAGCACGGGATCCATAACCGGTGAGATGATGTCAAGGGGACAGCAATAGGTAGACCTTTTTTGGCTAAGACCACATTTACTAACATACTAGTCCTGAGATGGAGAAAGGACAGCTCTGTGAGATGAAAGTTGCAAGATAAGGGTCAGGCTTTGACAGCTGATCTGTGCTCTTTGCTCTGGACAGCTCTGGTCACCAAGAACCCAACAAGGATAAGACTGGGGGACCAGTGAGGTAGTTCAGAGGGTAAAGGCTGCCAAGCCTGATGACCTGAGTTCAATATCCAGAACCCACATGGTGGAAGGAGAGAACCGACTCCCACAGCTGATGTCTGGTCTGCGCTGGAGCTGTGACATAGGTACACAGAACAAAAATGTTTGCAAGAAGAGAGTAAGATGGGACTGGCCCATGGGCTGGAATCTGTAGTTCCAGCATTCAGGAAGCAGGTACAGGAGAGCCAAATGTTTGCGACCGGGAGCCTGAAGAGATGGTTCAGCTTAGTTAACAGTACTTGATGCTCTGATGCAGGACTCAGGTTCTCCTCCCAGCACCCACATCGTAGCTTTCAATCTTCATAACTCAAGTTCCAGGAGTTCCGATGCCTTCTGACCTCAGATGCCAGGCATAAATGTGGTGCATAGACATATGTAGAGAAAACACTCCTTCACATAAAAAAAAATTCTGGCCTCTAGCATAATGCTATATGCCTGCAGTTCTAGCGAGGGGGTGGGAGTGGGGCTGAGACAGGAGGAACAAAAGTTTGAGGCCAACCTGAGCTAAAAGCTGATGGCTAGGATGTAGCTTGATGGAACAGTATTGCCTAGCACACACCCCATCACTAATGGCTGGAGGTGGGCATGTGGGCCTTTGCCTTTTTCTTTTATAGAGTCTTGACTTCTTCCTGGAGCTCTTGAAGCCAGGAGAATTACAAATAAAGAATTATAAATTACTTACAACAGGGCCACTTCAGGAGATAGTAAGCTGCTTCCCAGTACATAAGCCTGTTGTATGCAGTCTTTCAGATGGTACCTTTTTTTGGTTTTGTTTTGTTTGCTTGTTTTTTAAGACAGGGTTTCTCTGTGAAATAGTCCCGACTCTCCTATAACTCACTCTGTATATCAGGCTGGCCTCTAACTCACAGAGATCTGCCGGCCTCTGCCTCCTGAGTGCTGGAATTAAAGGTGTGTGCCACCACCGCCCGGCTTCATTTTGAGAGTCTTTAAAACAGTTTTTTCACTTTATGAATGTTTTGCCTGGGTGTATGTAAGTGCACCCCATCTGCCTGGTGCTCTCAGACAATGGAAGAGGAAATGAACAGATCCTGAGAATCCAACCTAGGTCCCCTGAAAAAGCAGCTAGCACCCTTAAATGCTGAGCCACTTCCCTAGCCCTTGTTTTAAGTGTGTGTGTGCACCTGCACAAAAAAGGCCAAAAACTGGTGTCAGATACCCAGGAGCTGGAGTTGCATTCAGTTGTAAGCCATCTGATGTGGATATGCTGGGAACTGAACTCAGTCCTCTATATGGGCAATAAGCATTCTTACCTACTGAGCCATCAATCATCTCTCCAGTACTGGAAAACTTTTTTTTGTTTTGTTTTTTGGTTTTTGAGACAGGGTTTCTCTGTGGCTTTGGAGGCTGTCCTGGAACTAGCTCTTGTAGACCAGGCTGGCCTGGAACCCACAGAGATCCGCCTGCCTCTGCCTCCCAAGTGCTGGGATTAAAGGCGTGTGCCACCAATGCCCGGATGGAAAACACTTTTATACACTGTTTTTGAAGCACCCATACTTGAAAGCTGACCTTGCTCAGTTCAGTGGCCTTATGATGAGGCTTCCAGAAGGGTCTAATCAAGCTGGGCATAGTGGCACACACCTTTAATGGCAGCACTCAGGAGGCAGAGGTGGATGAATCTCTGTAAATTCAAGGCCAGCCTGGTCTACAAAGCAAAGTTCTAGGACAGCTAGGGCTGGAAAAAAAAAAAAAAAGAAGAAGACTCTAATCAACTTCACTCCTCTTTGTTCTGTCTGTCCCCTCTGACTTTGCTGATTGGGTCTCAGCTATGACAGTCATAAAGGATCCTAGTAAATCCACTGCCAGTTTTGGTTATAAAGGAGTAAGTCTTGGCCTTGAAAATAATAGCAGATGGCTAGGCCCTGGCATGCCTGCAATCCAGCACTCAGAAGAGAGGTAGGAAGCTATTGAAATTGAGGCCAGCCTGTACTACATAGAGAGAACTTGTTTCTTTCTATTTTTAAATATTTATTGATTTTATTATTTTATGTGCATGTGTGTGCACCTCATGCATGCCTGGTGCTGGCAGAGGTCAGATGAGGGCTTCAGATCCTCAGGAACTGGAGTTACAGATGGCTGTGAGCCACCATGTGGGAGATGGGAATTAAACCTGGATCCTCTGTAAGAGCAACAAACTCTCTTGACAGCTGAGCCAACTCTCCAGGTTCCAGACCTTGTTTCTAAAGTGAAATAACAATTAGCTGAGGGCAGATTAAGGAAGTCCATGAATGCCCAAATAAAAGAATAACAAATATTTATTTGGGGAGCATTCACATAATGAAGGTAAAGAGCCACAGAAGTCTCCTGTCCTGGAAGCACAGGATGCTGCTTTCAGGTCTCTGACCACCACCCAAGAGAGAGCGAGAGAGACCCGGATCATGTCCATACACCAAGCCACTCCCTAAGCCCAGTACCCCATTTTGGGCAGAATGAATTCCCACCAACATTAGCTGTAAATGGATGTTTCCTGTCCTGAATGCTGGTTCCAAATAAACATACAGCTACTTATGTGAATTATGAATGCTGGGCCAATAGCTCAGGCTTATTACTAACTAGCTCTTGCATTTTAAGTTAACTCATATCCTTAAGCTCTGCCACCTGGTGGTACCTTCATTAGCATGGCACATTCATCTCCTGCTCCCTCTGCAACTGGCTGGTGACCCTGACTCCACCCTTCTCTTTCCATCATTCTTAGTTTGGTGGACCTGCATAAACTTCCTGCCTGGCTACTGGCCAGTCAGCATTTTTTTAAAAGATTTTATTTATTATTCATACAACATTCTGCTTCCATGTATATCTGCACACCAGAAGAGGGCACCAAATCTCATTATAGATGGTTGTGAGCCACTATGTGGTTGCTGGGAATTGAACTCAGGACCTCTGGAAGAGCAGTCAGTTCTCTTAACCTCTGAGCCATCTCTCCAGCCCCCAATCAGCATTTTATTAAAACAATTCAAGTGACAAATCTTTACAGGGTACAAGAGGATTATTCCACAGCATTTCCCCCTTTTTGTCTAATTAAAAAGGTTTTAGCTTTAACATAGGAAGATTATTTATATACAACAATAACAGTTATCAAGTAGGAATTACAGTTACAATATCCAGACTATTTGTATTTGACAAAATTAGAGAAACTACTCTATTATCTATCTTCTCTTTGTGAGTCCAAAACTTTGTATAGTTAATTTATTTTTTATCATAACTATAGAAAATTATAACTATCTCGTCTGGAACTCCATCAAAGACCAGAGAAGGAAGGAAATAATATTATCTAAGTAAGCAGGAAGTGAGAGCAAGCAACTTTCAAAAAATGTGAGAAATGATAGAAGCAGCTGGCTGCCTGGACAGTCACCCAAGGTTCCTCTGTAAAGTTGGGGCATCCATTTTTGGCCTACAGGCCTAGCATATCTGACAGACTTTCCTGTGAAGCAGGGGATTTTGAAGGACTGTCCTACCTTGTGTTGGCAAAGCTCTGCAGTCACCTTTCTTGTGTCCTACTGGTCTAGTTTAGACAGCGATTGAGGCAAGGGCAGTTTCTTTGCCCACATGGCTAGCTTTTGCCACAAAGAAAATAAACTCCATAAAGAGTTTCTTTGATGCCCATCATCTTGTCTGGAGTCCACTGGTGCTGCCAGGAACAGACATGTCTCACTGTCGTGAAAAGGTTAAGTTATTAAAACACTATAAATGCTATATTATGTAGATCTTTGAAGTGTTTGAAGATTACCTATTTATCTGAAATAAATAGGTATAACTATATATCTATATATCAACTATATCTTTGTATACCTATAAAACCTAATTAACACAAACACAAGTTTGACTAGTATAGATGAGTATTAATCTGTGTTTATTAATTGTACATTACTTTTTTGTTTTTGTTTTTTGAGACAGGGTTTCTCTGTGGCTTTGGAGGCTGTTCTGGAACTAGCTCTTGTAGACCAGG